TGGGGGTTGGTAGGGATGGAGAATAGGGCGGGGAAGGTTGAAGAAGAGCTTCGAAAAATATTTTTCCTGATTTTGGTAGGGAATATATTTTTCTCTAATTAGAGGAAATTGAGTTTATACGAGGAAAATATTTTTCAAAATATTTAAACAAACCAAAAATAAAAAAAATTAAAAAATACTTCCAGAAAATATTTTCCTACATACCGAACACATCCTTAAATTTCGTTCACTTTGAGCCCGTTTGGACATAAGATCTTTTTTATTTTTTTTCGAAATTTTTTTTTTTTTTTTTCAAAATCAGTGTTTGGCCATAAAATTTTCAAATTTCACAAGATGAATTTTGAAATTTTTCGAAAATTTGAAAAAGTCCAAAAAGTTATTTTTCAAAATTTTCACTCAGATCACTCACAAAACTTCAAAACAATCCAAAATTATATTCATGTCCAAACACAACTCTAATTTTCAAATATCATTTTCACTTAATTTTTTTTTTCATTTTTTTTCGGAATTTTACAATTCTTATGTCCAAACGCCCACTTTGTCTAACATTTTGAAGTGATGAAGTTTAGTTTAAAAAATTTACGTAATTCGTTAAAAGAAAAAAATTTCGAAGCATTCATGCTGATATCATTCATTATCATGTAGAACTAGTCGATTATCTCCAACAAGTAATAAATATATGGCAGCAGAATGTCTTAATGTTTTACTGCTGCAAAAGAACAAACAGTAAAATTTTACTAATGGAATGGAAGGGTAGTGAGTACATAGGCCTTGCTGCAAAAGTTATAAAAATAATTTAGGCAAAATTATTGCTGAACCTGAAAATAGAAAAGTAAGGTCTCTCTTAAGTTCTATCCACAGACTGTTCTCAGAAGAAAAAAAACTAAAAAACGTCCCCCCTAATTAGTTGACTTCTAAAGCAACAAAGAGCCATTTATTTATTTAATTATAATGTAGACTTGGACTAAAACTTTGCATATCACAAGAGGAAATGAAAGGAGGCACCCCTTTTCCTATTACCTTCCAAATCATCTGTCCTCTCATGAGAATTTTCTAGAGAATTTTCTTATTTAAAGACAAAAAAATATTCCTTCTTAATTCCTCTGCATCGTCCAATTTGCCTTTCCAATGCCCGTTTATCTTTATTATGGCCTGGGTAAGGGGACCGCGCTGCTAGCTGTTTCGATTAGGATTGGATAGTACACGGAAATTTAACCGGATCTCCTGATATTAATGTAGGAATTCCTCACCGCATATTACAAGTTTTCACTAACAGTGCCCAGTTGCGGTCAAATGGTAAAGCTGCTAAACAGCCTCTTTAGGCCCCTTATTCTTTGGAGCTCCAAATGTTTTTTAATAAGTGTATATGTTATTTTGTTTAAAAAAATATTTAATGTTTTAAATGAAAAAGTATAATTTTTCATAGTAAAAAAGAAAAGATTGAACCATTGAGCATAAATTGAGAAAAAGAATAGCCTTTTGGGGAATCGGATTCGCTCTCTAGATCATAAATTGAGAAGCAACAACAACAATCCAGTAAAATCCCACTAATGGGATCTGGGGAGGATAGTGTGCACGCAAACCTTACCCCTACCCCGAAGGAATAGAGAGGCTGTTTCCGAAAGACCCTCGGTTCGAAAAAACAAAAAAAAATTAAAACTTTAATACAATCCCAAAAAAGATCCTTGATAAAATTTTAACGAACAATAAAGTAAAAATCCTAAATTAGAAAGTATGTCTCAACAGAGATTAAATAGATTAGATGTATTAATTAGAAATATAAAAAATTATTAGAATGAAAATATTATAAAAATTATTAATAACTTTACATAAAAAAAATCTAGAAAAATGAATTTTAAACAGAATTAAATATGAAGTTCTTTTTTTTTGTCTAATAAAAAGCTTAAGGCATCTTATTCAAGTTTTGTTTTAGGCTACCATATTTATTGAACAGCCATCTGGGGAGGAAATATAACATTTAACATAATAAAAAAAACTAAAATCATTCATTCAGACTAGACTATCACCTGTTTTAGAAGAGGAATCACTGGCGCTGTCCCGACTGCCCACTTGGCAGGCGGAGCCATAAGCTAGCCCAGCCCAACTCATGGCCAGTCTTCTTTGATGGCCGAGAGTATTATGTAAAAAGAATCGATGAGCATCTAATACAAAAGGAATTCATATCTTATATTCAAGTTTGACTTTAATTATCGTATTTGCAGTAAGATGGATTTGGTTCTTGTGGTTTACCTTAATAATGGGGTGTTGCGGAGTTTTTTTTTTCCTTTTGGTGATTAAGATTTAACCATATCTTGTTCCTTGCAAAAAAGAGTCTTTGCTTGCTTTTGCAGTCTTGAAATTAATCAATAATGCTGAAGCTTATGATTACCTACCAATATCTGAACTGTTCTCCATAATTCTCAAAACATCCTAAAAGGAATGGCTCGAATGGGGATCCTTTTATGCCGTAAACATGGATAAATGATGATCTCACCTTTAGAAGTTACAAGGAACAGAATGTAGGGACTAATTGCCAAACCTTAGAGAAGCATCTAGGTTTATCTTAAGAATTAAATTAAATTATCCACAAAAGACGCTAAATGTGGTTCAAGATTCATTCTCCGACATTCACAATACTACACCAAATGATGGCTTTTGGAGTCATGACTATGTTTTAGATGATGCACTCCCATTCCCAAATGACTCCCCCTTTCATATTGAACAGTCCCTTCTTGGGCCCATACGTACACCCTTTTGTCACTGTCTCATTTGTTTTTTCACTTTTCTTTATTCTTTATTATGAGTGCCATTTTGCTAAACTACGCTTTTCCTACTTAATTATAAACAGCCAGCAATTGCAAAGTGAAGTTCACTCATGATTCATTCCATCCTTTATTTGAACTGTTTAATATTTCTTCCTCTTCCCTGTAAGGAAAACAAAAATGGTACTTCTTCCATGTCCTCTGCCTTTCGAATCAAAGAAAGAATCATCAGATTCTGATCAATCTCACTCTAAACATCTTTCCTCAGATTCTTCATCATCACTATCTTCAAGGTCATTTTCTTCCCTCTACTCACAGCCAAGTCTGCTATCTGTTCCTTCTCTTTCTATATCATCTTGTCAATTTGAACATCTCTCCAACACCTACCACCACTGTGCAGCTACACTCACAGGCCATTCCTCCTACATATTCTGCTTATCTCTCGCTGGAAATTACCTCTACAGCGGCTCTTCTAATGGCGAAATCCTCGCTTGGGATAGAAATCCTTCAATACAGGACAATTATTCAACACAAAACATTGTTTCCCAAAGTTGCAGCGCAGTCAAATCCATAGTCATCTTGGGTGATAAACTCTTCAGCGCCCACCAAGATCATAGAATCCGAGTATGGAAAATTGACAATGGTACGCCTAATAAAAAATACAAGTGCATTGCCACCTTACCAACACTCAACGATCGTTGTATGAAGCTATTTTGGACAAGGAACTACGTACAAGTGCGTAGACACAAGAAATGCACATGGGTACGGTTAAATTGTGTGGCCATATTATCTAAAAGAGTAAAATATTAGAGATACTAATACTTATTTATGTCATGTCTCAATACGCCTTCCATGCCTGATCTTGATTCATTTTCATGGCCAAGCACATGAAAATATACATTTTGTTCTAATAGTAAAGTTTATTATGTCTCAACAGGTACATCATGTTGACACAGTATCAGCTTTAGCCTTATCCAAAGATGGCTCTTTGCTTTACTCTTCTTCATGGGACAGAACTTTTAAAGTATGGAGAACTTCAGATTTCAAATGCATAGAATCAGTATGGAATGCACACGATGATGCTATCAACTCCATAGTTTTATCCAATAATGGACATGTTTACACTGGGTCAGCAGACAAGAAAATCAAAGTATGGAAGAAACAACAAGACAACAACCATACCCTATTGGCTACTCTAGAGAAGCACAAATCAGCAGTGAATGCATTAGCTCTTAGTGAAGACGGTTCTGTTTTATACTCTGGTGCTTGTGATCGATCAATAGTTGTATGGGAAAAAGAGAGCAGTAGTGCTAGACAGATGGTGGTGTCAGGGGCATTAAGAGGACACAAAAAATCTATTTTGTGTTTGGCTGTGGTCTCTGATTTGGTATGCAGTGGATCAGCTGATAAAACTGTGAGAATATGGAAGAGAGGATTTGGAAAAAGCTATTCTTGTTTGGCAGTGTTTGAAGGGCACAGTGGTCCAGTTAAGTGCTTGACTGCAGCTTTAGATACTAGTGATAGTACTAGTACTAGTATAAAAGATGATTCTGGTTCTGGAAATTCTTACCTGCTTTATAGTGGTAGCTTGGATTGTTATGTTAAGGTTTGGAAATTTTGGGTTCCTAATTACCTCTAGAATTCATCTATGCATACCTTTTTACCTTAATCATAGTACGATATTGTAAATATAAAAGAGAACATATGACTTAATTTCTTTTCTTTTTTTGGTTGTTGGTTTTCTTACCCTTTTTGTTTGAGGGTTGGACAATGGAAATGGAGACAAGCTTTAGAAGTTCTCCATCCATTTTTATCTCAAGAGATTCACTTTATATGTTGTCATTGATCTCCTGAAATATTATCACTTTCCTATCCCTATTTCTTATGGTAAGCTATATTATTTACAGACTACGTGTGAGAGTAAAGAAATTCAACAATAGTTTGCCTATATTTTTGTGCTAAAAGTTATGAAAGTTAGACCTATATAGTTATATTCTTTTGAGTATGCAATTTGGAAACCAAGTTTTTCCTAAGTCTTTAAAGACATGCGACGGGACAAATGACCTTTCCACATTAGAAGACTTTCCACATTAAAAACCTTTTCCAAACACGTGCAATTGGAGCTTGTAAATCAGAACAATTAAACTAATATATTATTGTATTTTATTTGGCAAAATTCGGATGGTGATTAAAAAATAAAAAAATTTGAAATTTGTAATATATACCAGCCATAAATATATTTATGACTATAGATATAAGAGCTTCTCCTCAATGATACATGAGAAAAGGCACGAAATCCCTTCCAAACTATAATCATATTTTATAACTATACGCTTATTCTTCTCGGGATCCTACTACCGCCTTTAACTATTTTGAAGCTAAATATATACCCCGGAAAAGTCACACCCATACCTGTGCAAGGGGATGATTTGCATGCACATGCCATGTAATATTACATGTTTTAAGCACTTTTTATTCCTTTTTTTTTTCCTTTTCCTATTCCTTTAAAATTCCTTTTTTTTCTTTTTCCTTTTTTCTGTTCCTATCACTACTTATCACTATTTTATTTCTTTTTACTTTTCTTTTTCATTCCTTTAATGGAGTTTCATTCAACCGGTAATGGAATTTTTTGCTGAGATTTTCATGACAAGGGAATATCTGGTAACGAAAAGGAGTCGGAGAAGTGATGGCGAGGGACGGAGGCACAAGTCACTTTACGGGTTCGACCGAACCCAGTAATTTTTACTCAAATAGTATATTTAGTGTTTTTAATTCATAAAATATGTATAAATATTAAATTTAGAACTTAGTCATTAACGCATGACGTCATGGTCCAAAATTCAGAACTCATAAAGTTGAAATCCTGCTTCAGATGATGGCAGTGTAGGTGGTCTTTTGGCGAAGACTGTATGCGAAATTCCTGGTTGAGATCTCATTATATTATGGTGTCAAATATGGAAAAACAAGGAGGAGGCGACGACAGAGTTGGTGGTGGCGTGAGGTGTATTGGAGCTATTGGAGTTGGGGTTACATGATTGTGGGCCAGCTGTGTATTTATTTGTAACTGGGCCAGACCCACTATTTTTTTATTCTTTGTTATACTAGCTAACAACCCAAGTGGCCAATGAATAGATAGAAATAAGGAATATTGTACAGAGAGAACATATTTTTTGGTTTCACAGAAAGAAAATGAGCCTTCTTTGCTGAAGCTCTCGCTCTTAGTTCGTGTGTAACCCTTGTCCCATTTTTGTCAATTCTTTGTGATTTTTCAATGTTATCATGGTATCAGAGCCACAGATTCTGAGAGATCTCGGCATTCCCTTCCGATCGAGTGTACCCTTAAGCAGTTTTGATGAAATTTTGTGATTGCATGTATTTCTAATTTTGGAGTCATTTAAGCTCTCCGATGGAATTTCGAGCTTCTTCTTTCTGGTTCTCATCTCATTCGTCGAGTTTAGAGGATAAGTTGCAGCGATTGCGCAATTTTGAGGTTGTGGATCATTCTCAGATCTAGGGTTTCTAGAAATACATTTTTTGCGGGGTTCGAGCTTTATCTCCGTATCCTGATTGCGTGACTTCTAATTTTCTTTCAAGGCCGTATCTTCCGGTAGTGATGAGTTCCGGTAATATTGTTCCACCTCTCTTATTAGCTACATGTCATTTTTATTGCCTAAGTTTGACTGATATAGTTGCTGATTCGAGATATAGTACTTCATCACTGATTTGTTAGTCTATTGTATTGTTGTTGTTCATAAAAATGGGTAGCACTAGTGCTAGTGAGTCTGAATTCACTCCTCGTGCCTCTAGTCCTTTGTTCCTTCATCCTTATGATGTTCCCGGGGCCTCTCTAGTTAGTGTTCCATTCTCTGGTAGTGGTTTTGGGGGTTGGAAGAGGAGTATGATTGTGTCTCTATCAGCCAGAAATAAAATAGCCTTTGTTGATGGTACTTATCCAAGACCTGGTGCAAATTCACCTGAATGTAAATAATGGGATAGAGTTAATAATATGGTAATATCCTGGCTAACAAGTTCTCTCACCTGAGATTGCTGAGAGTGTGCAGTACTCTGAGACTGCTGAAAGCATTTGAAACTAGCTAAATAACAGATATGGGACAGTAAATAGGACTAAAATCTTTGAAGTTAAGAAAGAATTGGCTTTTGTTTGCCAAGGCTCTCTTGATATAGAATCATATTTCAACAAGTTAAGGAAACTCTGGGATGAGCTAGGAATAATGTCTTCCAATCATGCAAAGACATGTACTTGTGCTGCAAAGGCTGGTCTATAGGTAGAAGAGGAAGAAAATAGGGTCCACCAATTTCTTATGGGGTTAAACGAAACATATGTCAATGTTAGGAGCAATATTTTACTCATGAATCCACAACCTTCTCTTGATAATGTTTACAATATTATTCTGCAAGATGAACAACAAAGACAAGTCACTCCTACTACTCAGTTCAGTCCTGATATGGCCTCATTCAATACAAACACTACCAACAAACTGCCTCATCAGCCTAATTTCCAGAGGCAATACACCTAAAAGGTTAACTTTGACCAGTCCAACCAGAGAATGTTTTTAGAATAGAGTAAAGGGTCTCTTTTTTGTAAATACTGTAAGAAAAATGGTCATACTATTGATAAATGCTATAAGCTGCATGGATTCCCACATAATTTTAAATTTATAAAGGGTCAAAAGCTTGGTGCTGCTGCCAATATTGAGTCTCCTTTTTCTGGGCATCTTTCTGGGCATCCTGACAATGCTTTATCATCTGGTTCAGGTGGGCAAAATTCTCTTATACCTGGGTTGACTAAGGAATAATGCACTCAATTGATGATGTTTTTGCAGAGTTCTGGATCAGAGTCCAATTCTTCACCCAACCTTGAGGCCTCTGCTAACTTTGCTGGTAGTGTATCCAATCTACCTGTTTCTTCTTGTGAGAGTTTTACTGCATGCATGTTGTCTAGACTTGCTAGGAGTGTTTGGATAGTAGATTCAGGAGCAACTGACCACATGACATCTAGCAAAGATCTTCTTTTTGACATTAAGCCACTTTTCATACCCTACTTAGTCTCCCTACCAAAAGGATACAAGGTGAAGGTCACATGCACTGGATCACTCACTTTGTCTCCTTCTTTCACATTGCATGGTGTCCTTTTTATTCCCACTTTTCAGTACAACCTGATTTCTGTATACATATTGATTCAACAATTTAGTACCTTTGTCTTGTTCACATCCTATTCTTGCTTTATACAGGACCCTTCCAAGAAGAAGCTTCTAAAACTTGGTAGAGTGCACCATGGACTGTACAAGCTTCTTCCACTTACTAATCCTGATTCTTCTGGTTCAAGAATCAGCAATGTTTTGCCAAGATTAAACTGCATTTCTGTTTCAGATTTGAATAAGTTTGTGCAAACCACAGTTCCATATTCTTTCCCCCCTTGAATAATGGTGCACAAGTTGTAAATAACAATGTTTCTTCTACTATTAGTAATGCTACTTCTACTGTCTCCTCCATGAATTCTGTAAATGATGTGAATAATCTTGATGTACTTTGGCACCATAGGTTGGGCCATATCCCCTTTGCAAAAATGAAAATTATACATGGTATTTCTTCTCAGCTATCTTCTAAGCAATCCTTTGTTTATCCTATTTGTCCCCTAGCTAGGCAAACTAGATTACCTTTTCCTGATAGTACTTCTCACTCAACCTTTTTATTTTAACTTGTCCATGTTGATACTTGGGGTCCGTATCATACACAAACCTATACTGGTGCCAAATACTTCTTAACAATTATGGATGATTATAGTAGAGCAACTTGGACTCATCTAATGCATGCTAAGAGTAATGCTTTTCCTTTACTTAAGGCATTTATTGCAATGGTCAAAACACAATTCTGTCTTCCTGTATAAACTATAAGAAGTGATAATGCCCTAGAGCTTGGTTCTTCCTTATTGGCTTGTGACTTTTTATCTGCCAATGGTATCTTACACCAGACCACTTGACCTCACACACCTCAACAGAATGGTGTAGTTGAGAGGAAGCACAAACATCTTATGGAAACTTCTAGAGCTCTTCTATTTCAATCTAAACTTCCTACTAAATTTTGGGAGGACTGCCTTTTGACTGCTACTTATCTTATAAATAGATTCCCATCACATGTTATATCAAACAAGACTCCATTTGAAATATTATATGGTACATGTCCTTCTTACAAACATTTAAAACCATTTGGTTGTCTTTGCTATGCTACAGTCTCTAAATGCCATAGGGATAAGCTCCAGCCACGAGCTATGCCATGTGTTTTCATTAGATATCCTTTTGGGGAAAAAGGTTATAAACTATATAGTTTACAAACCAAGTCTATGTTGGTTTCCAGAGTTGTTATTTTCCATGAGTGTGTCTTCCCCTTTCACCTTTCTTCTTCTCCTTATTCTATTTCATCTCCCATTTCCACTGCTCCTCCTCTTTTTGATTCTCTATCTGGTCCTGTTGCTCCTGTTTGCTCAACTTCTTCTTCAGCAGGTTCTCCTTCTTCTTTTCCTTCCACTTCTACTTCCCAGTCTTCTCATACTCCACCATCTATTTCTTTTCCCTCACCATCTCCTGCCCTTGCTCCTCTCAGAAAGTCCACTAGATCTCACAACCTTCCCTCTCACTTTCAGGACTTTGTGGTTAAACTTCCCTCTTCTTTCTGCTCCTCTACTACCTCCACTTCTACTATTTCAATTGCTGTAGTTGAACCTCATTCCTATTTTCAGGCAGCTGCCAGCTCAGCTTGGCAAGAGGCCATGAGGAAGGAGTTTGAGGCTTTGGAGGCTAATCACACCTGGGATATTGGGTGCAAGTGGGTTTACAAGATCAAGTACAAGGCTG